GGCTGGCGCTTCCAGGGGGTGCACGTGCACCCCCTATACATCGCCAATGATGGGGAACATACCCTATTTGAGACAATGTCAAAACTCTCCTTCAGTAACTCCTTGTTCCCTGCAGAAACATGAAACACCTTAAGTATTTACAATAATTTACAGAGGATTGCTTTGCACTGCAGCTTAAATCGTTCATCTTGATGCAAAGATGTGTGCCTCTAGGTCCAAATTCCTCTCACCTCCACTACAGTGTCTCATGAAAAATCTTTGGCTAGTAAAAACAGTCTGTTACAGACAGCACTATAAGAAAGCAACTAATTTAGAGGCAAGTAATAGAGACATTCAAGTAATGGGATAATTAGGGCTGGTTGATTTCTCTTGTTCTTTGAAGACTTTGAATATATTATTTGTCTGAAAATTCAAACCTTTTCTTGCTTCAATTTCTTTCTTTCTTTCTTGTGTACGTGCATATCCTTGTTATTCTTTTATGGTTCAAAAGAACTGCCGTCTACTTCCCTTATAACCCACAGACCCGTGCTGAAACCTCTTTTTCCAAACAAAATATTTCCTTAAAACTGCATTGGAAGGTATTTAAATCACAAGCACTGTACTGTAATCAGGGGGAAAAAAGCAACTCTGCTACCACTAAGTCTTGGAATAGTTTATTTGGATAGAAAAGAAATAAGACTCAGTAGCTTATTTGTCCATCACATTTGAGTTTTGAAATACCCAGAGAAAGCAACTTTGCTATTGGAAATCCTTGTTAACTTTTGCAAAGATATATTAGTAATTCAGGAGTCAACAGGACAACTTTTAATGGGATTCCAACTTCCAAAATACTGAAGTATGCTTCAAACTCTTCTGGTGATCAAGAAAGCAGGTTTGCTCAAAATGAAACTAATATATCACCTTAATTCCAAGCCTCAAATTTCCAGTTAAGATAGTGTACCAGATTTTTGACAAAGGGGAGCATTCACATATATTATTTGATAAGCTGTATTTGACCATGTTATCCCTAATCAAAATGTATGACACTTTCAATCTCTCTCAATTCTTTGGAAAAATCCTTTTGTTTTTAACTGTTCCCTGTTTAAATGCTTTACTGTCATTTTCTCAAACTGTTTGCTCGCAGACAGGTATACAGGAGAACACAATGAATGGTTCCAGAAAGGTTTCATAGCTTATTAAACCTGAAGTGACTTTTACTCTGCATAATCTCTAAAAAAAAAACCAAACAAAACAAAACCAAAACCCCCCAACTCCTCCCCACCCTGCCAAAAAACAACAAACCACTACTGAATCAAATTTAAAAGAAAGCTCTTTGGCCATATAAATGCAATGAGAATTTTTGGTTGAAGATCAAACTCCCTCTCTCTGCATAAGCTTTTGGATAAACTCAAGTTAAATATGGAAACTCAGCAGCTTTGAGGCAGAGCACTCTAGGGACTGACTGGCATTAAAGGATGAGGACACAGAGCCCTCCAGTACAATAGGTATCCCAAGAGGTGGGGAGGGAAGCAGAATGGAGTATGATGGGATGTTGGAGGACCTAGCAAACCCATCACACTTTTTAGAGCACTTCAAAGATGTTGCTCATTTTCTGAGGATCGTTTTTGAAGCACTGCTTCAGTTTACGAACATCTGTCCACTGTCTGGAGTGCTCCAACTGTTATGTCTCTGCAGAGTCTGAGAGAACTAGTTAACATAGTTTGGCCAATAATTACATACTTGCTATGCATTCATTTATTAAACTATCTGCATTACCCTGCACATTAGGCACGGAATACTTGCAGAGATCATCCACACTATTAGGTCAATGGATGAGAAAGAACCCTGACATACATATTTAATCTAGAATTTTTCATGTATAATTGCATATGGGATGTTAAAGCAAGGTCCTATCTCAAAGGACATACAAACTTTGTTTTAATTTAATTAGCCCTCACACTGACTGGTTCCCCCCCCCCAGGATTTCCGTTTCAGTTTGCAATTCAACCTCTTTCTTCAGATGACGGTCATGGCACGACGTGAACAAATGCATAAAGCATGTACAACATACTCAGCCTGACTGAACTGCTAACCATGCTGCAAGTTTTGTAAAATTTGAGATAAACTTGAAAAAGAGCTGGAGAGAACCCCGGGTATAAAACATGTTCCTCTTTTAGTCAAACTGAGTGAAGAGCTTACCTGAAGTCTTTTAGTTCTTGTTTTGCACTTTCATCTCTCTTGCTTTCTATTGTGTCTGCATTAGCTGCCTGCTGTAAGCTCCGAGTGACAGGTCCTCCAATCCTCTCCCTATATTTTACACTGAACCTGTCTGCCTTCTTCTTGCTTGCCACAGCAGACTTATTTGGCAAAACGGCTTTATTCCTCTGTAGTCTTACATGCAACTTCCGAGACGCTTTGCTCGAGATTCCAGAACTGTTCTTAGCTACCGCTTTAGTTTTTTTCCCTTCAGCGTGAGTCATTTTGGACACTCTCATGGGGCTGGAGTTCCTTAATGAAGATGATGAATTTGGCTTTTTCGATCTAAGTGGAGATATGAATTTTACATTTTGCTTGGATTTGAAAGATGCAGAGGGCAACTGAATCTGCGTGGGCCCCGAGGTTCGTGCTCTCGTTTTTCCCAAATGAGCCTGCATACTCTGCATTTTGATTTCGGCGTCTGCTGTTCGCCTACGCTGGTTGTTGCCTTTATCACTGCTTGCAAGTGATGAGGAACTTCCAGCTTTTTTTGATGAGCTTTTTTTCGAGGATGGGGAGACAGGTTTTTTGGGGCAACTATACGATGCGTGTTTGTTCAAACTTCCAATGTAAGTGAACTCTCTATTACAGTATGGGCAGATGTGAGAGTCCGATTCGGAGGCGCTATTTTTCAAGTCGGCCTTCTGTTGTGCAGATTTCTTTTTTTGCAAGATTGCTTTCTGGACAAGCTGATTTTTCTTCTTCAATGCACTTAATTTTAGTTTACTAGAGGACATTTTGCTAATCTCAACATTGAAATTAAGTCTCTTAGGTTGTCCCATTCGCCTGAAAGCGTTCTTTCCAGTGCCAGCTATAACTACCACACCATTTTTAGGCTGAACAGTCTGTTTCAGTGGTACTGGATTTTTTTTGGGTGTATATCTCTTTTTATCACTGGCAGAGGCACATGCCAAGATGTGTTTGTGTAATTCAGGCATGTTATCAACACTTTTCCCACATTTTGTACAACGAATGGCAGTAGTGAAGGTCTGTGGGATATTGTGGGTTGTGAAATTTGTAGCAGTGGTGCCAATACCCATAGGATTTCGGTGGTGATACTGAAATGGAGGTGGCTTAAAACTTGGATAGTGTTGATTGAGGCCCATACGGACATCTGGGTCTTTTGACTTTACTCCAGAAGCCATTATTTTTATGGTTGTATAAAGCTCTTCAGAGGAGTCATTTAGGTCTTCATCCTCCTCCTCTTTAGAGAGTTCTAAGGAATCTTCTGGTAGACTTTGCATATGTTCGATATTCGCTTTAGTAGGATCTGTAAAATTCTGGGGTCTAAGGGTGCCACTTTCAAATTCATGATGTGTGCATTCTTTATCCGGATGGAGATCTCGTTGATGCTGTTGCAAATTGCATAAAAAAGCAAATTCCTTTTTACATACTGAGCAAACAAAGATATTTCCTACCCCATGAAGCAAAAAGCGATGCTCTGACAAGTCCATTTTATCTCTAAACAGCTGTACACAGAATTCACATTTGAAGGGCCATTCTTCAGCATGGACAGATAAATGCTTAGTTAGGTCTTTAATAGAAAGAAAGGGTGAATCACAAACATTGCACACAAAGCTTTTATTGAATGTTTCTTGAACTACACCTGCTTCACTTGAAGTCTGTGGATCTTCTCTTGGTTTCTCATGTTCACTCTCCATTTCTTCTTGCTTAAAAGCTATAATGGGCAGGGGGTTTTCTAGATTATCAGCAGGGGAAACAACAGAAGAAACTACTGAGAGAGGAGGAGGAGAAGGAGATGAAGAGGATGAGGAGGAAGAAAAGGAGGAGGAAGGTGATGACGAGGAGGAGGAGTGCGAAGAGGAAGAGGAGGAAGACGAGGAAGAGGAAGAAGATGAGGAGGACGAGGAGGACGACGAGGAGGAGGAGGAAGAAGAGGAAGACGAGGAAGAAGAGGACGAGGAGGGAGAGGAGGAGGACAGTGTCGGAGGACCAGGTGAAACAGCAGAAGTGAGAGGTTCAACAGAAGGTGCAGGGGATGGAGAGGGGGATACTGTGGGTGAAAGGACTGGAAGTGGGGACGGTGTTGTAGCATTTGAAAGTGGTGATGGGCAAGGAGTGTGAGTGACACTGGCAGAGGCATCTGAAAGGGGTAAAGGAACAGTGGGAAGGAGTGGAGGGGGTGATGTAGCAACTGTTAAAACAGGGGGACAAGGTGGTGGGGAAGGAGGATTTGTTGGAGTTAGGAGAGGGGGCAGCTGGCATGAGGATGATGCAGAAGACATCTGAGGCAAAGGTGAAGTACAGGAACTAAGTGAATGAGCCTCAACAGAAGGTGCAGACAGACTAAGCTCAGTGTCGGGCTCTGGTTGTAGTTCTGTCGATTTACATGGACTGAGGGTCCTATTCAAATCTTGCGTGCTTTCCGCAGCTGCATCCATCCCGTTATATTCATTCAGTAGAACTTTTTCTAACATGCACGTGGTCGGTTTCTTCTTAATACTACTACATGCTGGCTGCACCAGATTATTTTCTTTATAGTCTCTAACTTCGGTGTCACTGCAAGGTTTCTTATGCACACTTAAATCTAATACAGATTCCCAAGGAACCTGGTTCTTACTTTTGACATCAGACCTTTGCTTTACACCACTGGACAAATCTAATGGCTGCTGGTTGCACACATTACCAAAGGTAGGAGGGCCTGCCCATTCCTTAGATATTTTATAGTCTTCAAAGCAAAGAGGGCTCATGGTTTCCTTTTCCTCCCTTCCAGTCAAGCTCCATGCAGGCGAGTTGCTGTGGCTTTCTAACTTTGGCATCTTTGAACCTAGAACTGTATCCTTCCACACAGTTTTCCCATCACCCAGTTTGCCAAAGTCCCGAAGGGCTGGACTGTGCTGCGGAGAACTAGGAGGAGAGCTGGTTCTTCTCTTAAACCTACTAGAAACTGGAGGCAAAATGGGTGAAGATGCAGCAGGTCCTAATTTAGGGATTTCAGTTGATGGAGTTATCTTATTACCATCCTGTGTCTGAAGCAGTTGTTTTAATTTAGATGACAAATAAACACTCTTTTCTTTGTGAAAAGGTAAACTCTCAGCTGTTGAAATGCTAAGAGGAAGATTTAATGAACCTGATGGCGTTACAGGTTCTGGATCTACTTCCGTTTTTATTTTTGGTATAAGAGGAGGACTAGCTGTTCTTCTCTTCTTTGATTCATTGCTTCCACTGCTCGAGGACTCCTTGGGAAGATCATTCACATGCATCTGCGTAACCTTTACATTTTGAGAAATTTCCACTGTGACTGGAGTAATTAAACAATTTAATCCATATAACTGTGCAGAGTTGGATTCCATCTCAATCACATCACAATTGCTAGTGCTGCTATTGGACTGAATTTTACCATCAATATAGTAGTTTAAATTTTCAGAAATATTGCTGGAAATATCCATAATGTATACATCGTCTGCTTCACCTTCTTCTTCTAACTCTGTATTTGCTATATACACATTCTGGGCTGGTTGGGCCTGCTCTGCTTGAAGTTGTGGTTCTTCAATAAAGTATCCTTTTCTCCTGACACCTTTGGGAATAAGATGACGTTCATGAACCCTACGCTGGTGCCTACGCATGTTGGTGTGAGTTCCAAAAACCTTTTTACAATATTTGCAAGGATGCAATTCTTTGGGTTCCTTGTTCTCTTCCACAAAAGCACAATTTGACATTGCTTGGGAGACCTTCTCAGGATCCAAGATTGCAGAGTCTTGTGCAAGATTAGAAACATTTAGTTCATCTTTTAGACCATCATCTACAAGTATTTGGTTATCAGCAATATTCTCTGACTGCTGCGAGGAAGCTAATGTTAAGAATGGTTTCCTTTTTGGCCCTGCCTCATGACGCCGCTCATGCCTTCGCCGGTTAATCTGAGTACCAAAGGCTTTCCCACAGTATCGGCATTTGAAAGCATGATGGACAGTAGATATGTGGATATGCATGTGACGTTCAAGTCCTTGCTTTGTTGTAAATTTCCTCTCGCAATGCTGACAGGGAAACATGAAGGTTTCCTGGAGGTCACCATTGGATTCGCCTCTTACTTTAGGAATTTTCACAACAGGCGTTTTTTTTGGAGAGCTTTCTGGAGAGTCTTCTGACATACTTCTTTGCTCTTCTGGAGAGTCCAACTTTTCTTCGCACAGGAGAGACTCTTTTCCACCACTTTCGATGGACATAGCGGCATCTTCCATCTCCTCTTCATCTTCGTCGTCCTCCTCTTCCTCCTCCTCTTCCTCCAAATCATCTGATGTAATAGCTTCTGATTTCTCTTCAGACATGATTTGTTGCTCTCTTGTAAGACTGGGGATCACCAGTTTTGGAAGTGCATCTTGATTTACCATCTCCTGAATCACAGCTGTTTGTTCCAATGAAAGCACAGCAGAAACAGAAGGCTTTTCATCTTCCTCTTTATGGCCTAACAAAGTCGGCAGAGAAAAAGCATTAGTTAGTTTACTAATTCACAGTATTTAGTTCCTTTCTTCTATCCTTTACCCTCACACAAGTTATTTAACATGCACAGTTCCTGGAACATTACTCATTCTAGTCGTATGATGTAGTCTAGAACAAAACCGTATTCCGTTTCTTTTTCTGGACTTTTACTTGGCAAAATGCAGGGGGTTCCTTTCATCCAAATACACTAAGGAACTATGAAATCCTGTGACAGCCACACCTATTCCAAGAAACACACTACTTGCTTTTGGTTTAATTTCATTTTGAAATGCTGTATGTTCTGTTCTGTTCAAAAGTCTTGGATTAAATTCAATTAACTTTTCTTATCGCTTTTTAATGAAGGGAAGCAAAACAATAAGCAGAAGTTTTGCTCTTCAGACCTCAGCACAGATTACACCAACATTAAAGAGTCAGGAAAATTAGTTTGAAAGGTTATTTTTCAAATATTTTTACCCAAAGCTTTTTGGATTTTTGTTTGACCTTGAATGATATAAAACCCCAGTCTGGGTTTTTGCTTTTAAAAAAAAAACACAGTGTAATGCTTTTCTCATTAAACCAATTTTCCATTTCCTAGCTTCTGGTTCCCAATTAGACATAAAATAGACTTTTGAATCAAACAACACAGACTCCTCTTGCTAATGTAAACTGTCTCCAAAAGCACACGTGCATGCCAGTTTCATCTACCTGCTTCCAGATGCAAGTATCATCCACAGAACAACCGGCTGCTGACAAGTAGCGTGCTAACAAGTTATCCATAAAATTCCCCTTTTGCCACTTCCCGCAGGAGCTTGTCAGATGCACAGATTATTATTATTATTTTGGTGAGTGACAAGGGGAAATCGAATGAAAGGAACCTGAATGAAAGTTAGTAAATGCTGCCCTCACCACCTTCACTTATACCTCCCCCTGTTCCAGCAGTGCTAGGGAAGACAATCTTTACATTCCTGATATTTTTAAACTAAAAAAAAACAACCCCCCCCCAACAAAAACCCCAACAAACTACAAGTGGAAAAAACTCATACAAACCTTTAGGTATTTTAGATGCACCAGAAAGTGAAAAAGGGCATAAAGCCAATTTTTAAATAATCTTTGCAGGCTGCCATTTAGATAAATCATCCTTGGTGTTTGTGGCTAGCGTTTTATTCTGTTTGCATTATATTACATTTTACGTGTTGTACGTTAGCCCAAATGGCTAAACAAGACACCAGGGCGGGCAGCTGCTGTACAATGCAATTAATCTACCAGGATTCCAAAAGACTTTGAGTTGCATCGTTGTCCTGTTTCTAGGTCCTCTTCTATAAAATCCTATATTTGAAGGTACTAGATTTTGTTTAACTTCGGTATTAAACTAAATGTTCTACATTGTGAGAGAGTTACAAACTCACAATAAATTCTTCTGAAAACCAACTGGATTAAATAAGCTACCTACCACTTTAATAGTTGCGCAAACAGTGTAAAACTACTTCTCGTCTTAACAGATAATAAATGCAATGAACTCCTTTAAAATATAAGTAACAAAAACAAAGAAGTCAGATGCTTGAAATCTCTTACCGTCTTTAGAGTCCTTCATATCTATGGAAGTAAAATCTAAATCAGTCTTGTTCTGCTTTGTATCTGTTGCCTTCTTTCCTTTGTTTTTACCCTCCTGGGCTTTTTTCTTCCCTGAAAAAAGAGGGGAAAAAAGTGTATTGCTGCTCAGAAAAGTGTGCAAGAGAGTGAGTGTGTTCCCAGCCTCAAAAAATGGCACATAATTGATTTAAAAAAAAATCTAAAACTAAAACTAACGTTCAGAGAATGAATAAAGCATATGCAAAAAAGCACTAAAGGGCAAAGCACAGAATGAAGAAAGAGAAAAAGGTGAAAAATGACACATCCAGCTTAATTTGATACCATGTCAATTACTGTCAATTGATAAAGCAGTAAGTGAGGGTCTAGAAGAAAATTAAATGAAAAGCAATGCTACAATGAGCTCTCCAGTAACAGAAGATTAAAATAACTTTTTTCTTTGACAACACAAACTCAGAGGACAGAAGTAATTGAGTTTATATAAGTAACTCTCTTAGATCCAGTTACATGACACTTTCACTGGGATACCTAGCTATCACTACCATACAAGGAATATAAAATTGCCTCAAATATTAATGCTTTACATCAATCTGGGGGCACTCAAGTGAGGATCGACAGGTCTCTCATTCTGCATGCTTCTATGTAGATTTTTTTAAATTAATGAATTTGTAGATGTAGGGAAGATATCAAAAGCAAAAACTGTATAGGTATTACAAAGAACCCTCCCCCACATATGATCTTGATGAACTACAGAAAAAGATATAGAATAAAACTTACATAAAGAGTGACAAAATCTGCAGAAGCAAAAATCAGGTAATGAAGGGAATAGGTGATGGTTAGCAGAATTACAGACTTAGCAGTCTGTTGCAGACATAGTAGATGCTTAACATAAGCAGGAATAAATCAAATGACGACACAATGCCAAAAAATGCCAAAGAAACAACAAAACAGAATAAACTATTTATCCATATTGCATAAAACCTCTGAGCAGCACTCTGATAAATCTGACAAACCTAACGAGACAGGAAGGGGAAAAAACCCCAAAACAAACCCTTATTTCTAAAGTAAGACCTATCAAGGCAAGTGAAGACCTGAACACTGTCACTCTAGATGACAAGACAAATAATTCACTGTTCAAAAAAATAGCCCACATGTGGCAACAAAAACCCCCAGAGAACTTCTCCCAGAAGAAAAATGCCAAGGAAAGCAAGACTCTAATGATGTGATTTTGGAAACAAGAAAGCAAAAAGCCTGCTGAATAAAAGGAAAACCCAAATACGGCATTATCCAAATTCTTAGTCATTTAAGCCCGATACAGCATCTATGAAATGGCTCTGTGGTATGCACTCCAAATTTTTCTCCTTGTTTGCAAACATGGACTCTTGCCATGCACAAAATAATCAAAAGGGTAGGGATACCTGCAGTGTAGGGTGGAAACACGTTTTCCTTATGTCTTCATTCAGTATAAATCCTTGACAGCCTCATACTTCTATATTACATTGTTCCCTTCAAGCATCTATACACCCAGGCATTGGAATGATGCCACCACTTCTCTGCTAGCCCTCTCAGACAAAAAAAAATAACTTAACACGCTGACCTTCCTTTGGCCACTGAAACACAGGATTTAGAAACGTATTCTGATACTTAAACAGTGGACTTACCTGGCGTGACATGGTCTGAATGTTATCTGAAGTTGTTCCTTTACTCCTTAAGGTATTTTGTACTTCTGCTAATGTTTTGTTACCTCTGAACAAACTTTAAGAAATGTGTTGTTACTGTAATTGTCAAAGGATGCTGCTATAGCATCACTCAAAGTCACCTTTCCATCACAAAAGAATAATTATTATTTTTATTTGGATCCCAAAATATCAATTTGTTTCTTCAAGAAGGATGGAGAAAATATGGATTCAAGTTTAATTTGTTCTCCAAAGCTTTCTTAGTGTGCTTCAGATTTTTTTGAGTCACTTTTGTTTTTCTTTCACCTTACCAGTCTTCCATCGCATCAAGAAATGACCTATGCAACCGAAACCAAGCACAGGTTTAGCACCTATGGGCTGTTCATTAATACAGTATATGCAATACTCCTTCTCTAAACCAAAGTCATATGTTTCATTACATTGCCCCAAACTGTAATATTTTGTCTCTATGGAATTTCCCTGCTCCTATGATCATGAGAGGAGCCACCAAAACCTGGGAAAGTGGGGCTGGAAAATGTCCAATGTTTCAGTGTGCTCTCTGATGTTCACAGACTGACTGAAATGAATTTAAGCACATCTCTGCCTGCCAACCTTGACAATTCAATACTACATCAGTTCATGATTCTAGCAACCTTTGCTGTTGTGTTAAAACTGCAGACTAAAGGACTCAAAGCTGGATACCATCAGTCATCTCTGCTAAGCCACCTGTGATTCTTGTTAAAAGTTGACAGCAGCGTAGCTGATGCTCCTGTAGCTCTAGCACATGCATTAAAGAAAATGTCAAATTACACTATTTAGAGAGGCCCAAACACTCAGCACAATAGGGTTAAAAAAAAAAAAAATCACTTTGTTCGTACATCCTCACGTGTTCCAATTTTTATACAACCTTTGGATAAAGCCTTGAAGTCTCTGAAGCAACTTTGGCATTGAGGCCTAATAACAGCTCCTTGAAAACACCAGCAGAATGCTACGGCTCCCTCTCTCACTCCAGATCAAGTCAGGTTTGGAGTGATCTCTTGATTTACAGATGAAGAGACCAAGTGTTCTGGCCCCCAACAGAGATATTCTATGATAACAAAAAGTGCTCTTCAGACCTGGAGTCTCTCAGGTCCTCACCTCTGTATCAAATGCATCAGTGGCTTCAGACTGCATTTTCCTTGGCTTACATCTTACTACAGGCTATTTGAGTGAGACAAATTACTGGGTGGACACTTTTAAACTTAGAGGGCTACATTTCAGCCTACTGCCAGCCTGTTGTAAGAACTCTGAAATGGAAGCACAGACATGTATTTTGGTAATTAAGCTGTTAGGTAAAATTATGTGGAAACCAGTCACAAGGAGTTTGCTCTTACTTTTATTATATGTTCAAATAATATAAACTTCACAAAACTGTCCCTTTACAGAAGAAAAAAAGAAAAAATGCAATCCCAAAACTATGATTCTGAATTGGGAAATCATCAATAGGAGAGTAGGCTTCATAAATGAATTTTAGCTACTTCCTCATCAGTTACTCTATGTCACTGAACTGCTTGTGATGTACTAGAAGTCCTCTTAGTTTCAGGGTGGAAAGAAGGTAATTTGGAAGTTCCCTGTTGACAGCCTCCTGCTTAAAAAAAAAAAAAGCCTAGTTGATACAGTTGGAAGTTTTTCAAGTTTGTGACCTTTAAACTTAAATACACTGGATGTGAAGATTTATCTAGTACTTAACTTGTCCTTGTGCTCAGAATAGCCAGCAAAATGATTTGCATGCACATATAATTTTAGATTTGTCAGATCAATTTCTGAAGAGGAATAAAAGATAATCAACCGCTTCTCTCAAGTTTTCCTCCAATGTAGAAATTAGCCTCATCTTGCCATCTCTTTCTGGTTCTTAATTCTTTTCTAAAGGTAAATCAGACTCTTCATGCTCAAGCGAGACAAACCTGAAGACTGCCATGCTTTGCCCACTACATTTCCAAGCAAAAGCAATATCTGCAACACTCAAAAAGATGGATACCAAGTGATTAGCCAATGATTTTTGTCCCTTAATATTCTTGCAATTAAAGAGTTCAGGAGCCAACAGAAGCCCATGGAGGACAACACACAGAACAGAACCTGGTGGAAGCCTGAGTATAAGTACACACGTGCACTTACCATCAGGTTCCTGAAGGGTCCTACATGGCTGCTACTGCCAGCTGGATCCTCCACTTGGTCTAAACAAGAAAGATACAGGAATGAAACACAGGGAAAGTGAAATGGAAACAATGACAAAAGGGCAAATGAAAGGCAGAACTCGATCTGTATGTGTGTGTATAAAAAGAATTGCAAGAGAGAGATGCAAAAGAAAACTGAGTGAAAGAAACAGATGGAGAACAGCCGAATTTCCTACAGAGACACAGGTCAAAAGGGGAATGGCCAACATTTATATTTTTTTGGCTTTCAGTGGTGTTTCCATTTTCTCTTGCCACGTTCAGTTAATAGCAAATGTGCTTCTCATCTCTCCCCCTCCCTCTCTCTCTCTTTGCCTATGTTTTTGTAATTAGTCGGGCCAAGTGCACTGATAGCTCGTACGCTATTACAACATCCGTGTAGTGTTGGCTATCAATCACTGACATACCCTATTTACTTACATATCACAAGCATATTTTCCCCAAAAGTCATCCCTCCAAAACAGGAGGCAGTCTTAAGTGGGAGGCTGATTTTTCTCCAGTAGACCAGAAACATGGAGACACTGTGCTTCAAGATGACCACCAGCTTCTCTTAGGGGCAGCAAGGGAGGTCCAGTCTCAACCTTTTCACAGCCACTTGCAAGTTAGCAGGTTTTTTGGCCGAGAAGCTAAATGGGCAGCCAAAAACAGCTGCCAATTTGAGAGCAGATGTGAAAGGGTTCAGCCTGGACTCTCTCTCTCCTGCTTGCTGTCCTTGAGAGAAGCTGGCAACCACCATCATGAAAAAGCCAGCTGTAGGCAGGACCCTGGGGGCATGTGGCATGCAAGATAATATGGTAGGCACAGGAAGTCCTACATGACTGATGTAAATCAACAAGGTTGCCTGATTTCAGTAGGGTTGTGCCGATTCACAGACTGCTGTATCCAGAGTTGCTGCAGGGATCAGATAAACCTGAATGCTACCTAGCAAAAAACAACCCCCAAAATCAGTAATAGGCACGTGTCCATAATATACAGGAATAGCAAGTGTCATTGCCCAGACCAACAGAAGACTCAAAAACAGTCTACAAGATTTATGCAAACTGCAAATATTAAAAACAAACAAAAAAAAGTGGCTGTAACTGTATCCACAGCTGATAGTGTTTATGAACAAATGGAATGATTATTTATATGCAAGAAAGGGGGAGGGGGAAATTAAACTCAGTCTCGCTAAAGTTGAAGATGCAGCAGATAATCAAGACTAGCTTTTAAG